ACGCAGGGGCAGGGACAGACCACATTTGGGAGGGGAGGACAGGTGTAATCTAAGCTTCACTAATAATGTAGAGGCTGCACATTATTTTGGCACCCTTTCCCCTACCCCTCCTCATTTTGGAGCAAGACGGAATGACTCCTGTCTCCCCAAAATGGCCAATAATGTCCGCCTTCTCACCTCATTTGGAGCAGCAGCTTGCTGAGTGTCAAAATGTTTAATACCATTTGGTTTTGTTTGGTGCTTTCAACCAGTCACTTCACTTTCTTTCGTTTCCCTTTTTCGATTGATTTCTTCTTTAAGGTATAAGATGCATTTCTCTTTGAGTTGGTTTAATGTGAATCGGGGTTTGAAGTGACAGGTTCTTGTCCAGGACATTCTCCTTTCCCCACCTCGCTCCTCCTCCAACATTTTTTCTCTCTGAGGGAATCTGGAAGGGGCTTTAAAAGAGCAGCTGGTGGGGTTCCTCAGCACAAACTGGTTGGTCCTCAGGTTTCTCTCATTAGCAGCATCATGGGAGCACATTTTAAGGATGGATTTTGGTGTTGCAAAAGTCAACCCTGGACCTCCCAGTGTTTCTTCCAATCAGGTCTGTAAATCTTGCAAAAACACCTCTCACCTTGTGGACCCTGAGTGGTGATGGGGAACCTGAGCCATGCTGATTGGGACCAAAAAAAGCCAAAAATGCCACTCACAGAACACAAACTGGGTCAATCTCTGCCTCCGTGAGCAGCAACAAAACCAATTGGCTTCCCAAGGGTGTGAAAAGTTATGGATCTGTTCTGTTTCTAAAGAAGAGCACAATTTGGGGTGCACATTTGCAGTGTGAAATGCTTATCCAACAATTCAACACTCATAACTAACTGCACTTACAAAATTTTCCTGTGCCTCTGAAATGGCTTCTCTGCATTGAAATAATTTAATTGCATCCCAAACATCCAGCTCCAGTCCTGGAATCTGGTTCTATCCGTAACAAGCTGTATCCTTGTTTGAAAAAAAAAAGCTCCTGAGAGTTTTTTGGCCATGGACAATGTCTGTTTGTGTGTGCCTGCCTGTGTGTGTCTGTCGGGAGCTGTTGCACATGGAGCATGCACATCCGTGTACGCATGCGGGGTCTGCCAAAGCTGGCCTGGAAACCAAACACCCCTGGAACTCAGGGAAGGTCCTTCTTGCACCAGAAACTGGGAAAAGTGTTATTAGGCAAGTGTTTATAAAGCAGAGCCCTGACTGCCCCATCCCGATGTTTCCTTTCCAGAGAGGGCAGTTCTGTTCTTCCCGATCCTTTGAAGGTGCTGGATAGCAAAATGGAAGGGATCTCTTCACCTGATTTTTTTCTTGTGAAATTCCCCTCCTTCAGCTGCTGTGGAGCTGGACCCAGAGCTGGAATTGGTGTTGATTCCATCTCCAGCTTCCTTTCCACCACGCTCTCCTCCTCCTGGGCCTTGACCTAAAGGCTGACCTAGAGATTCTCAGCTTGACAAATTCCCTGTCCCCAGCCAAATGCAAATATTACAGCAATTAAAATAAGCAGCAGCCTGATGGTTCTGGGTAGCCAGAGATGAACTCTGTGCGTTATTGTGCTTCTCACAGCAGGGCTGTATCCAGGGGACTCTCTGAGGTCCCCAACATTTAACTGGAGTTCTTTTCCCATCTTAGATCAGTGTGTGGATGTTGGTATATCTGTGCACACAGGAGAGTTTAGTTTTTTTTTAAACCAGGATGCACCAAGGAAGTGCTGCTGCCTGTTTTGGGCTCGTATCAGTCATAATCCAAATTCTCCCTCCTTGTGGAAGGGGCGGTGCTGAGGGCTGGCATCCAGAGGTGCTGGGTGCTTCCCTTGTAGGGGACAAATGCCACTAAACCAGCCCAAAGTAAGGATTCCTGAGACCCCAGGGCTGACCTGCACCCTGGCAGCTGTCAGGAGGAGGGCAGGGCTGCTCTTTTTGGGAACGTGCTCTGTGCAGCCCCTGAGCTTGTGTTTTGTGAGTGGATTTCTCCTTCCCTGCCCAAAACCACAGGCAGGAACAGTGGGTTCCCTTCAGACTCCGATTCTCAGCACTCCGCCCAACATCAGATGATGCTTTTCAGTTATTAAATTCTGGTTTGTTCTTTCTTTTTCTTTTCTTGTTTTTTTTTTTTTTTTTATTTTTATTTTACTTTTTCCCTTTCTTTTTCAGTTGGGTTTCATTTCTTTGCGATTAGCTTCGGTTTGGATTAATTGTCTTGTTCTGTTCCCATGACAACTCAGTGTTTGCATCCCACCTGCCGTTGTTTGTTGCTGTTGATGCTGTTTGCTGCCCGGATCCTGTCCGGACGTGTCTCCCCATTCCTCCTCACCTTTCCCACCTTGCCTCCCCTCTCCAGAAGGTCACCTACCAGCCCCCCCTCAAAAGAGTCATCCCCACCCCAAGATCTGTCTGCATGTTGACCCCACTTGTTTCTTTCCGAGTTCTCTCCATCTTGTCTCAGACTGTGACAGGTGTGGTTTCCACCTGGCTCCATTTTCTGAAGTGTGGAACTTCTGGGAGCAGTGGGAAGCAGGATGGAGTGGGGAACAGGGATGCACCCTCGTGGCTAGGGCTGAGTGTTCTCCCCAGTGGCAGGAGGGAACAAGGAGCAGCTTGCCTGATCCTTTGAGCCAGAGCTGGAACAAACACCTCCCTACACCTTTCTGCAGGTAGAAAATCATCTTCTAGTGTCAGTGGTGAGCTTGCAGCCCCTCCCTCCACATCCCCATCCTTCTCCCAGCTGAGGGCATGCCCCCCATTCTCTCTGCAAATCCCTGCATGCAGGAATTCCCTTTGTTCCCTCTGAGCTCCAAATGCCACCAGTCTGGAAGTCTTCTCTTCCTTGCCTCCCAGTGCTGGTTCCTGGCTACTGGTTCTCACAGAAAAGGGTCTGACAGCCCAATGGGGAGAGCAGACCTTGCTGTGACAATGTCCCTTGTCACCTTGCGGGGGCTGCAGTTGGCATTTGTTTGCCAAAGCCCCACTAAACAACAAAGAGCCTCTCCTGGCAGTGCCCTTCCCCTTGGAAAAGATCCACAAAGCTGCAAGACAAACACCAGCAAGCCCCAAGACAGTTCCAGGGGACATCTGAAGGCACTGGGAGGGACAATGGCAGGCTCAGCCCTGCTGTCCTTTGCTTTGCTGTGGCACGAGGCAAAGCCACCAAGCTTGGGAGTGGTTGTGCAGAGGTTACCTGGGAACAGAGAGCAGGAACAGGGAGTTCTCAGCCCCCCAGGCCCTCCTGCCCCTCGCCCACCCTGCCTGTGGCAGCTCCTGCATGGCTGTCCTTGGAGCTGGAGGAACCCTGCACCCCTGCTCCCCTGCAGCTGCTGCAGTTCCTGCATTTTCCCTGGGTCCTGTCTCCTTTTGTCTTTCTTGTGGGAGGAGACCCTGCCCTGAGCCCCCTCCCCAGGCCCTCTCTGATCCACACACATTCTCCTTTGTCCATTCCCCTGCTTTCCCCCTTAAGGAAGGGCACCCAGCATCCCTCCAGCCAGCCCAGGCAGCTCAGAAAATGGAGCCAAGGAAACCACAGCCTCCCCTTTGCGTCCATGTTCTTCCTGTGTAAGGTCTGGAAGCTGCATCCACCTCTCTGCTAAGGAGATGCACAGAACATGTCACTGTTTTCTCAACGTTAAAAGTTTCATTACCTTGTTTTTCTTATTAATTCTATTCTATTTATTATTCCGCCAGGGCTGAGATGTGACAATGTGAGCCACCACATTGAGTCACATCAGCTAGAAAAAGTATGCAGCATTAAAGTGGGTTTCCCCCTCCCCTCCCTCTCTCTCTCTCTTCTTTCTCCCTTCCCCTCTTGTTCTCCTTCTCCTGGTCTTCCTTCCTTTCTCTGTCGCTCACTTTCTATCCAGTATCCATGTGGGCATTTGCTACCGCCCAGAAATTATATTTCTCTGCATTTTCCTCTCTCTTTCTCTCTTTCTCTCTCTCTCTTTTTTACCTATTTTGCATGATGTTTGTGACTCTGAGAGCTGCATCTATCGATGGAACCGTGTCAGATCTTAAAGAGGCTTCGTTAGGGTTTCTATACCCGAAAACCACAAAAATTTCATTAGAGTTTCTCATCTTTTCCACACTCTCTCTCGCTCCAGGGGGGCTGAGTTCCCCTGGACGCTTCTCACACGCAGACACCAACCAAATTCTGTCCCGCTCCGGGGACTCCCTCTCCTCCCTCGTTTATCCTTTCGCCTTTCACTTCCCAAGTGGAGCGTCTGGAATCTGGGGATGCGATCCTTCTCTCTTTGTTGAATTCTCTGGGTCCAACAAGGCAAAACGTTGAGAAGTTTCCATCCCCATCCCAACCTTCTCCTGGCCGCCCATCCCACGTCTGCAGCAGCCCCGGGTGGGAGAGGGCCCCTCTCTGGAGGGGGCACCTGGACCACGCTGGGTGCTGGTGGAGGGGCTGTTCCTCAGGAGAAGGGGGTCAGGACCCAGACCCCACGGGAGAGAGAGGGAGGAGCAGGTTCCCGGGGTGTGGAGCGGGGAGCTGGGGGCCCCAGAGGCCACGGAGGAGAAGTTTGGGCTCTCGCCATGCCAGCTCTTGCCAGTAAAGATGAGAAATTGCTAATAAATTTTTGTGTATTTATCTGTGCTGTGATGGGTCTAATCTTGATCAATGGAACCCTGTTGCTATGAAATATCGCTTTTATGTCTATATTCTATATATTGTTTGTGAAGTACGAATTTATTTGGAGTTTATTTTTTTTGGTTTTCGGTTTTTGATTTTTTAATTTCTTTGCCTTTTTGTTTTGTTTTTAAATGAAGGAAGAAAATAAACTGTGACAAACCCCATCTATATTTAAATTATCTTTTACTCTTTTTTCTTTTTCTCCTTTCTTTTCTTTCCTTTCCTTTTTCTTTTTTTTTTTTTATTTTGAATTTTTATTTTTTTCCCTCTTCGTTTTTCTGTTCGTTCGTTTGTTTTGGTTTTGCTTTTCCGTTTTGTTTTTTTGTTACCTCTGTGCGTCTCGTCCACAGTTCGCCGTGTGGCCCCTCGCTTCTCCATCCTCCCTGTCAGCCATGAAATCATGCCCGGGGGCAACGTCAACATCACCTGCGTGGCCGTGGGGTCGCCCATGCCCTACGTGAAGTGGATGCAGGGAGCAGAGGACCTGACGCCCGAGGATGACATGCCCGTGGGCAGGAACGTCCTGGAGCTCACGGACGTCAAGGACTCTGCCAACTACACCTGCGTGGCCATGTCCAGCCTGGGAGTCATAGAAGCCGTGGCCCAGATCACGGTGAAATGTAAGGGAGTGGGAGCAGGGTCCTGAGTGCACGTGTGGGAGTGGGCACGGCCGGTGCTGAGTGTCCCAGCATGAGCGCAGGGATGCCCTGGGCACGTGTCCTGCTCGTGCATGGGAGCCTTGGTGGGGCCTGTACAAAATGGGAATGTGCCATGGTTTGTGCCTGTGGCATCGTGTGTCTGCATGGGGAGAGCCTGGGACTGCCTGACCTGCACAGGGAACATGGTCCTGCATGGTGGTCCCATGGTGGTCCTGGTGCTCCTGCACAAGTGGGATGTGTGTGCATGGATAGGGACAGTCCTGCATTAATGGGCTCTGTGTGTGCATGGACAGGGACAGCCCTGCATGTCCAGGTGCTCCTGCACAAGTGGAATGTGTGTGCATGGGTAGGGACAGTCCTGCATGGCCAGGTGCTCCTGCATGAATGAGGTATGTGTGTCCATGGATAGGGACAGTTCTGCATGGCCAAGTGCTCCTGCATGAATGAGGTATGTGTGTCCATGGATAGGGACACAGTTCTGCATGTCCTGGTGCTCCTGCACAAGTGGGATGTGTGTCCATGGATAGGGACAGTTCTGCATGTCCACGTCAACTGGGATGTGTGTGCATGGCCAGGGGCACCATGTCTGTATCATGGGCACCTGGCTGCAGGAGTGTCAGTCCCTGTCCTTACCTGTGCAGGACAGACCTGTGCACCATGAGTGCCCTTTGCTGGGATCTGTGCTTGTCCTTGGGGATCCCCCACAGAGGGAAACCCACAGTGGAGGGGAAGCTGGTGGCTGGAGACCTTCCCTGGCTTTAGGACACCTGAGCTGCTTGTTATGAAGAAAACTGTGGCTCAAATCCCCGCATGCTGTGTCTGTCCTGATAAATGAGGCTGGCTGGGCACTGTGCAAGGAGCCTTGGATGGCTTGGAGCCTGCATGCCATCCTGTTCCAAGGCCTGAGATTCAGCCAAGGCCCTGAGGATCTCTGGCATGTGCACCCTTGCAGTAGAGCTTAGTTCCAGCATCTTAGTGGCCGTTGTTGCCTCAGCAAGATGGGGAATAAGCCCAGCTTCCAGCTAGTGATTCCCAAGAGGAGCACGGGTGCCATCTTCAATCTATTCTGTCCTCAGCAGGGGAGTATTAAACCCATGCAGGAACCTCTGAGGTTGGGTGAGTGTAGAGCTCTGTGTGAGCTGCTGTCTGCTCCAAGTACTGGTGTTGCCCATGAGGGATCTGGGAGAGGCGGGGTGGGAAAGGATCCAAGGGTGGGGGAGAGGAGAAACGCTTGGGAGAAAGGGAGGGATAAGGAAAAACAATCTTCTTGTATCAGTGATCTGTCTGAGGAAGGTCTGACAGGAGGAATGAGTAGGGGCTAGAGAATCTTGGCATGACACCCGTTCTGAGCTGCTGCACAGGCAGTGGGGCTCTCGTGCCAGCAGAAGGATGCCTGGGGCTGGACTCAGGTGCTCTTTATTTTCCTCAGTATTTCCTTCCTTCCTTTTTTCCCTGTCTTACCCCCTCAGTCTAAAAAGCTGATGTGTAGGGCTGAGTGTGTTTGCTTCCAACTCTCCCATCTCCTCACATGGGGAATCTCACCCTGCTGGTACCTTCTGTCTTTTGTAATTTTGTTTGCCCTGTGCTGTTCCTGTGTGTGAGCTCTCCTGGGCAGAAGGTGAAAGGAGAAGTTTGAGCTTTACTATGACCAGGTCTAGAGAAGTCAGGCTTCAAGGCCAGGTTGGAAAGGGCTTGGAGCCACCTGGGCCAGTGGAAAGTGTCCACTGGATGGGCTTTAAGGCCCCTTTCAACCCAAAACATTCTGGGATTCCATGATAAGAAGAAGTTGATAAGGAGGGTTGAAAAGGGTCTGAAGTGTGCAGTGAGGACTGCACATGAAGCTTGAGAACACGTGAAGTGAGAACAGGTATCAGGTGCAGCATGCAGTCCCCAGCAGGCTCAGGAGGGACTCCCTGGCTGAGGGAGAGGGGAGATGGGGATTAACACAGTGTGTGCCTTGGGAGGAAGCCCTCCCAGCATTTCTGCAGAGGAGAGCCTGTCCTGTGCCGTTCCTTGCCCGTGGAGGCTCAGCAGAGAGATGTGAGCACGTGCTGGGAAGGAGCTGAGGAGCTGCTCTCCCTCCCTGCCCCGTGAGGGCGGATGTGCAGCTGAAGCCTTGCTAATGATTCCAGATGTTTAGCTGAACACTTTGCCTTTGATGGAGCAGTTTAAGGAGGATAATAGAGTGGATAACTAGGTTCCTCATGTTCCAGCAGCACTTCCCTGAGCTGCTGGGATTGGTGCTGTGCCTCCGGCTCCTGCAGCCCTAACCAGACCAATTAGGTGCCGTTTCAGCATCTGTGGTTTTTTTTAAATGGCTGTTCTTCCTGATTCTCAGCACTTCCCAAGGCTCCTGGGACGCCAGTGGTGACAGAGACAACAGCAACGAGTATCACCATCACCTGGGACTCTGGCAACCCAGACCCCGTGTCCTACTATGTCATTGAGTACAAGTCCAAGAGCCAGGACGGACCCTACCAGATCAAGGAGGACATCACCACCACGCGCTACAGCATCGGGGGGCTCAGCCCCAACTCCGAGTACGAGATCTGGGTGTCTGCAGTGAACAGCATCGGGCAGGGCCCCCCCAGCGAGTCGGTGGTCACCCGCACGGGGGAGCAGGCCCCTGCCAGTGCCCCCCGCAACGTGCAGGGCCGCATGCTGAGCAGCACCACCATGATCATCCAGTGGGAGGAACCGGTGGAGCCCAACGGGCAGATCCGCGGCTACCGCGTCTATTACACCATGGAGCCCGAGCAGCCCGTCAGCAACTGGCAGAAGCACAACGTGGATGACAGCCTGCTGACCACCGTGGGCAGCCTCCTGGAGGATGAGACCTACACCGTGAGAGTGCTGGCCTTCACCTCCGTGGGGGACGGGCCCCTGTCCGACCCCATCCAGGTTAAGACGCAGCAAGGAGGTGAGCACCTGAGTGGCTGAGCTGGGCTGTGGGAAGGAGAGCTGCTGGTTGGATTTGGAGGCTTAGATGCGATGTTGTTTACTTGGAGGGTGGGGAGGACCTGGCACAGGGTGCCCAGAGAAGCTGTGGCTGCACCATGATCCCTGGAAGTGTCCAAGGCCAGGTTGGACAGGGCTTGGAGCAGACTGGGATAGTGGAAAGTGTCCCTGTCCATGGAACTGGATGAGCTTTATGGTCTCTTCCAACCCAAATCATTCCATGATTCTAAATGTCTTTAATAGATGTAAAACTGTCCAGGTAGTGGTGACACTTTAACTCTCCCTAAAGTACCCAGGAACTATTTGTCAGAGCTGAGTGGGGAATGAGCCTTATGTGTTGAGCTGCAAACACAAGATGTTTTACCATGGGCTGTCACCCAGCCCATTTTTGCCTTGGGGTATGGGAGGAAACCCTCTGTTCTCAATGGGCTGCTCATGGGCTTCCTCCTTCCAAAATCTTGTAATACTGGGATTGATGGGAAAGGCTGTATTCTGCACTGCTGAGAAAGAGGCATATGATCCACTGGGATTCTTCCATCTCCAGCAGCTCTGCTCACACTGGAGTCCTGCAGTGGGATGTAACTCCACAGCTTTAGAGGCAGGACCTGCCCACGCTGCAGTGTGGCATTTTGCTGCTGACGTGCTCTTCCCACACAGGCTTTGAAGAAAACAGGGCATGAGCCTCCAAATTAGCCAAGTTAATGTGGTTTCTCCTGTATCTCACCTTGCCTCCTGTGCCCCCTCTCCGTGCCAGTTCCCGGGCAGCCGATGAACTTCCGAGCAGAAGCCAAGACCGAGACGAGCATTGTGCTGTCGTGGAGCCCCCCACGCCAGGAGATCATAGTGAAGTACGAGCTCCTCTACAAGGAGGGAGACCACAGCAAGGAGGTGAGCCCAAACTGCAGCAGGGTTGGGGCCGAGGAGCTCCCCGATCCCACTGTGGAGTGAGGGGAGCAGGGCAGTGTCTCTGGGCAGGCCTCACCTCTGCTGCCTGTTGTTTGGGTTTATTTTTCTCTTCCCCCCTCGCCCACCCCCAGGTGCTGAAGAACTTCGAGCCCACGACGTCGTTCACGGTGGAAGGCCTGAAGCCCAACACTGAGTATGTCTTCCGGCTGGCCGCCCGCTCGGCCCTGGGGCTGGGGGCCTTCACCCCGGAGGTCCGAGAGCGCACCTTGCAGTCTAGTAGGTGTCTCTCCTTTCCCACCCTTCTCTGAGGGCACCACAGTCAGGGAGCCAGACATGGTGGGCACAGGGGGACGGAGCTGGGGGCTCTGTTTCACTCCAGGGAGGTGGGGACACCTTTGGGAGCTGCTGCCCTCTCCCCTCACCGCTCCAGCTAGCTGAGACGTGAGCCAGGAGCAGAGCTGGGCTCTGGGGTGCTGGGGCTGGGCAGCACCGTGCTCTCAGGCTGGCCATGCTGGCCGTGGTGCTGAGCATGCTCAGGGGATGGCAGGGATGGCAGCCACAGCCTGTCCCACACAGGCCCAGCACTGCCAGGAAGGGGAAGAGGGAGGGAGAGGAGCAGGGAAGGTGATTGTTCACAGGCCCAGCCTTCCCCAGCCTTTGGGGAAGCTGTCCCCATGCTCTTGTCCATGAACACCTCCACAGCCAAGGGGAGGAAGGCTGGAGCTCTGGGAATGGCCCCGTTTGGGCTCCAGCAGAACGGGAGAGAGGAGCCCTGTGGAGGCTGATGACACCAGGATGGAGAGTATGCAACTCAAAACGTGCTGGTTTTAGTTTAATGGATTGTCTCCCTTCGCTGTTGCCCTGGGGACAATAACCCTGGATGGCAATATTTCAACCTGGGCTTTTCACAGATCTTTGCTTTTAAATGAGGTGTTTTTTCACTGCATGAGTGGCTGTGGCAGCTGTTCTTTGTGTTTTCTGTCTCCTCTCATCTCTACTAAATCACTCCGCTGCAGTTTGGAGTAGCCGGGAGCAGAACTAACTCAGAAGTGGCTCTGGTCACCAGTGTGAGGAGGGAGAGCCCTGCTCCCATCCCTCAGAATCCCTAACAAGGGGGAGCAGCAGACTCTCGGCTGGGCTTTTTAATTGTCACATCCTGCTGTCTCTCCCTTTCCCTGTCTCCTTCTCTTTCTGTCCCCTGAGGAGTGGGAAGAAAGGGGAGTCTGTTTCTGCATAGACAGAATTCCTTACTGGGGCTTTCTCAGGCCTCCACTCCATTCAAAGATTTTTTGGTTTTTCTTTCCTTCAAATGTTTTTCCCCTTTTTTCTTTCTTTTCTTTTTCTCCATACTCTCTCTACGTTTCATAGGAAAATCCTTTCCTGACTCTGCTGCACATCTGCTGGTTCTGATCCCAGTGTGGTACTGTCAGAGGGAGCATCTCTGTGGGGTGGGGGAAATGAACTGAAAGGACCTGAAAAATAAGTGTTCAACTTACACTCTGCTTCTGTTTTCCAAGGGGTTTCTCTCCTTGAGACCTGTGGGGATGGGAGGCAAAGATGGTCTGGGATTTGTGCTTTCTGGTTCAATAAAACACGCTGGAAGAGGGGTGTGGCAGCTGGTGGCAGTAGGCCGCAGTGAAAATTTGTCCCTTAAGGGTGAGGAAAAGGGGATCTGGGAAAAGGGAAAGCTTTGGGGCTTTTTCTAACTTGGCATCTGCCCAGAACACGGACGGGTTTCTCTCTCTGTAGCTCAGCTTTCATAGGGAGAGTCTCATTAATTTAATGCTCTTAAGAACATCAGCTGGGAGCTGTCAGTGTCCTGTAACACGGTGAAACATTTTTTCCTGGCTGGCTGTTGGAGGAACGAGTCAATTCTCCCTGCTCCGGGTGACATCCTTCGGCTCACAGACCTTCTGGCTCGGGACAGGCTTTTGTGTCTTCCCTCCTCAGCTCCTTTTCCGTTCGGCTCCTCCTTGGCCTGCTCCATGCCTCTTCTTTCTTCTCTCTCTGCTCTCTGCTTGCCTGCCTGCATGCCCTGCACCCAGATGAGCCAGCTCTCTGCTGTCCCTGTCCCTGGCTGGGCCATGTCACACCATGGTGGCATCTTGTCCCTGGAGTGACAGAGCCTCTCCCTGCTCCCCCTCTGCTCCTGCTGTCCCCTCTCAGCACCCACCCGCATGTGGCATCCCCTCCCTGCACCTCCCTGCCAGGGTGGCTCCTCCTGAGCATCATAACCCAAGTAAAATCCATTAAACTAAAGGTAAAGTATCTTTTTCTTCTTGAAGTAGCTGGGTTTTAACTCTTCAAGTACCAGAGACATAGCTTGTAAAACAAACAAAACAGACTCTCATGGCTGGGAGAAGCTGGTTTGCCCTTTCTGGTTAGCCATGACCTTCCCAGGCTCCCTGGCAACTCTCCCACTGGGAAATTGCAGAGGGCAAAGCGTGCTCAGCAGGCAGGGGTGGCCGGGTGGGCGCTGTGAGGCTGCACGTGCAGGTGTACAGGAACAATGGGCCTTTCTCTCCCTCTGTTCCTGCCCAAGGAAGGATTTCCCCCCACGTAGCTCCGCTCTCCCTCCTGTCCCCCTCCTCACAGAACACCAAGTGAATGAAATCCCCAAAGTCTGTGGTACCTAAAGGGTTAAAAAACATGATATTGTGCAAGGTCAGTAAGGGTCATTCTTGTGGCTTGGACAGTCAACTTTAAAGCATGTAAAAGGTGCAGCTCAGGTGAGTACTGGCTGGTCTCAAGCAGATTCACAAATACAGTCCACCCTGTGGCTGCAGGCTCACCGCTGGTGGCTCTGCACACACTCCCAGATGTCCTGGAGCCCTGGGAGGGTGGGGAGGGGTCCCAAAAGGCTGGTGGGAGCAGCCAGCAGGCCGAGGCAGAGCTCTCCTGCCTGGGGGCTCCTGGCTGAGCCCAGGGAGGGGCCGTTGCAGAGCTGAGCTCGCAGCCCCGCTGGGGTTGGTGGCACTGGGCTCCCGGCGCTGTCCCCAGCGTCCCCAGGGTCACACAGGTTGGGCTGGATTGTGAAGGGAACAGGGCCGTGAGCTCCCAGAGGCGTGTCCAGCGTGGCCAGCCAGCACCCCTGGCTGTTCTCCTCCGACGGGGAGGGGGCCAGGCAGCCCCTGGGCCTTCTCCCCCATCACCCACCCCCAACCCTGCCTCTTTGACCAGAGAAAGTGCAAAACCATCCCAAAAGGAGGCCTCACCCCAGGGCCTCTCAGTAGGTCCCTGTGCTGGAGCGTAGAGGGTGAGTGAGCGAGCGTGGCAGCGCAGACAGTGAGCCCAGGGCCAGCTGGAGCTGAGCTCTGCTTCTGGGGCTTTCAGAATGAGGTGCAGGATGAAGGGTAGGTCAGGTCAGACCCTCTCTGCAGTGGGTTTCTCAGCTGTGGTGGCTTTGGCTGGAGCTAAGCAGGAAAGGTGGATTTTTAATATGCCCAGCCTCTGATGAGGACAAAAACAAGAAGGGAACGGCACCATGGCAGCGATGGGAGAGGGCTGAGTCTGCCCCTCCTTGAAACCATCCTTGAGCTGGTTCTGGGACATGGCATGAGCAGTGCACCTCTGTCCTGGAGAGGTGGTGCAGCAATCACAGCAGATGGAGAGAGCAGAGGGAAGGAGATCTGTGACTGGGAACGTGCTGTCCTGCTCTCTGTGCTGACAGTTTAGCAAAAAGAGAACAGATTGGGGTCCAAAATTGCCATTTCCGCAATAGTAGCTGGGGTTCTGCTGGTGGGGGAGGACTTGGGGGGATCATCATGAGCAGAGTGGCATTTTAAAAGCCAGTCATGTGCAGAAACCCACCAGGAGCTTGGTCTGGCCTCGTAGCTCAGTTCCTCTTGTTCTCTTGTAAGAAAGTCTTATAAGTTAGCAGTTGAAGCGTGGAAGGTAGGTAAACAGACTGGGAATGTTCTGGAAGGAGTCACTTTTTATATCAGTATTATTTTATTATTATGATTTCCTTTCTGGTGTTTGTTTTTTTTTTCTTTTTGTTTCAAATTATTGGCTTGATTTACATTTTATTTTCCAGTTTGTTCTGTTTGGTTTGGTTCATTTGACATCTTTTGTGTTGTTTTGCGTGGCCAGCCATGGCCAGGGCTTGTCAGCCTCCCCACTGGGAGTGCTGGGGAGAAGGGGGCCATTCTGCCAGGTTAAAGATAGTAATAGTGCATAAAAATAGAAGGAAAACACCCAAAATGTCCTGCTGGGCAGGGTGCTCAGACAGCAGTGGAGGGATTATCTCTGCCCTGTTTGAAAAGCCTCTTCCCTCTGTCTCCTGGAGGCTCCTGGAATTGTGTGGCTCTCACTCCAGTGCCAGCTGGGCTAAGTGGGACTGGATTTAGCAGAGTCCTCGAGGCAAACTGGGCCTAAACATCTGGGTTTGACTCAAGGATGGGAGTAAGAGGCTTGAAAACAATCATTCCTCACAAAAAGAGCATCAGAGGAATGAGAAGCAGTGACCAGCACTGATCTACTGCTATTTGGGGGGCTTGTGAGTCCACCCCAGTTTCCTGCCCTGTCTGCAGAGACTTAAAAGCTCTTTATTGCAGTTGGGTGATATTGGATTTATTGATTTGCCCTGAGAATGTGTCACACTCTGCTTCCCTGTGCTGATCAGCTGTCCCTAGTGACAGGCAGAAGTGTGTTCTAGTTCCTGGAAGTGTTCAGGGCCAGGAAGGAGCCCCCTGGATGGTGGCAGCTGCTCCTGCCCAGGGCAGGGGATGGAAGAGAGGAGCTTTAAGGGAGAGCTGTGGGTTCCACCTTCCCCACCTCCTGCTGCCACCCTGAGAAGGTGCCTGGGTAGGGCCACAGTTCCCAAGGTTTCCTCCCAGAAACACCCTGGTGTAGTTCAGGCAGAGAGTGCAGTGGGAATTCGACCTGCTGCTGCTTTGAAAAATCCCCTGGATACACAAATACCTCACCAAACCCACTGCCTCCCTCCTTCTGCAAGTGCTTTCTCAAAACCCTCCTCTCTAAACACCATGGCTTGGCAGTGTCCTGGGCATTCCCACTGTGGGATTTGGCCTCCTCCAGTCTGGGGACAACTAATCACTTCCATCTGGAGGTACAGACTCTTAAATTTAAGCCTCCTGGCAAAAGATTTGCTTTCCTTACTTAATTTTCACAGATCCCTTCAAAGAAATTCAAGATCCCAGAGACTGAGGTTGGAAAGTGCTTTCTGAGCCAGAGCAGGATTTGCCAGGCTGCTGTAAAACAGGGAGCCAAAGGAAAGGGCTTTTATAGGGTGCAGCTGGGTGTGTAGCTGGTGCCAGCTTAGTGGAAGCAGCAGGACCCCTCTTGGCTGGCCCGCTTGCTGGTTTAGTCCTTTGCTTTACACCATTTCAGTTTTGATGCCCCATTTAATTTCTGTTGGCTTTTTTTTTTTTTTTGGAAAAAAAAAACTCTCTTCATTTCGGAAAAAAAAAAAAAAAAAGACAACAACAAAAAGCTCTCTTCTCTTTTAATTTTATCTTCCTAAACCAAACTTTCGTACGTTTTATTTTAGATTTTTTTGTTATCATTTTCCTTTTTTTTTTTCTTTTATCTTTCCCATCTTTTGTTTGTTTTTTTTTTCCTCCCCCTTCTTTCCCCTTTCTCCCTGCTCCTGAATTTTCCCCCCCTCCTAGAACCGTCTGCCCCCCCTCAAGATGTAAAATGTGTCAGCACCCGCTCCACCGCCATTCTGGTAAGTTGGCGGCCGCCGCCGGCCGAGAGCCAGAACGGCGTCCTGGCCGGCTACAGCGTCCACTATCGAGCGCTGGACTCGGAGGACACGGAGCTAAAGGAGGTGAATGATATCCCCCCAACCACCAGTCAGATCCTGCTGGAGTCCCTGGAGAAGTGGACCGAGTACCGCGTCACCGTGGTGGCTCACACGGAGGTGGGGCCGGGCCCGGAGAGCTCGCCGGTCATCGTGCGCACGGATGAAGATGGTGAGTGAGAAGGGTTTGGGTTCTGCTGGGGGGGTTCCTGTTCCTGCAGGGGGTTGTTCCCATCAAAAATCACAGGCAGGGCCTTCCTGTGGGTCTTGAGTGGTGCCAGGCCAGAGTTGGAGTGGGATCCAAGATGTGGGTTGTGTGGCATCTTCTGTTGCCATCACCCCATCACGTGGTGCCATCACTCCATCACCTGGCATCCTCTAGTGCCATCTGAGCACTGGCGTCTGTAGGCTACTCCTCCCCTGGATTTATGGAGTCTGTAGGGTTCCCCTCCTCTGCATTTATGGGGTCTATAGGGTTCTCCTCTCCCGGATTTATGGGGTCTGTAGGGTTCCCCTCTCCTGGATTTATGGGGTCTTAATTTCTCCAAGTCTTGACTGCACCATCCTCTGGTGCTATCTGAGCACTGGGGTCTGTAGGGTTCCCCTCCCCTGCATTTATGGGGTTCTCCTCTCCTGGATTTATGAGGTCTGTAGGGTTCCCCTCCCCTGCATTTATGGGGTTCTCCTCTCCTGGATTTATGAGGTCTGTAGGGTTCCCCTCCCCTGCATTTATGGGGTTCTCCTCTCCTGGATTTATGGGGTCTGTAGGGTTCCCCTCCCCTGCATTTATGGGGTCTTTCTTAATATCTCTGAGTCATGACTACACCACTCCCCCTGTGAAGATGCTCTCACTGAGCCAGGAGCAGCCAAGGCACTAAAAACCTTTGCTGTGAGGAAAACCTTTGCTGCCAGAACTTGAATCATTGTATATCCTGAGTTGGATGGGACCCACAAGGATCAGCCAAGTCCAGCTCCTGGTCCTGCATGGGACAGCCCCAAGAATCCCACCCTGTGCCTGAGAGCACATGGTTTAAAGAGTTCTTCCCACACATTCCTTGTTACTGCATTCCTTGTTACTACCTCAGAGCTTTTGTCCGTTGTAGAAAGGAGGAATCTGTTAAAGTTTCAAAAACCTTGAGTGACAACAGTTCAGTGACCCCACTCAGAGACCTGAATGGTCCTGATATTTCTACAGTAAAATAAAACCAGGGGAAAGCATCAATGGGTGCATGAAGGGAGAGGAGCACCCTCAATGTGAGGGTAGGACCTCAAATAAAATTGGGAGAATTTAGGGAGCTGGAGATAAACAATGATAGCTTATTATTAAAAACAACCTGCAGGTGTTGTTTTCCTAATAGCTGTTTTCTTGTTATTCTCATAAGATTGTTTATAAATGGGTGTCTTGTTAATTAGCCAATCAGGTGAAATGTATTGATTAGATGACAAATCAGGTCTACCTGTATCAGAACAATGTATAAAAGGAGCAGTCTGAAGTAAAGATGTGTGCTTTATGCCACTCAGCATTCTGATGGCTCTGAACAGTGACACCATCCCTGTGTCCAGGTTGTGCAGATCAGGTCCCACAGACCTTCACAATCCCCCAGAGCTGGGAGGGCAGTGCCAGGTGATGGGATGCTCAGGTGCTCAGGTCTCCTCCAGAGCTCAAATCCAGAGGAGAAGGGATGGGTTCCCAGCAAACCCCCAATTGTCAGGACCCAGGAAATCCCTCTGAGCAGCCAGAACCCCTGCTAGGGGTCTCAGAGACCCTAGCACAGAGCCCAAAATGCCCCTGTGGTTTTGATTATGACCCATGGAGCAAGTTACCAACCTTAGATGAAGATCTACAAGCCACAATAAATTAAGTAGAGTGCCAGTGAATTTATCACAAGGCGAAAAAGTAGATTTTGGGGTTTCTAGAATGGAGGTCCAGAGGGCAAGATGGAGGGATCTGAGAATGTCCTGCATTTCTCCTTCTTCTTCTTGGCCTCCATCTTCTGCTGTGATGTTGGCACTTTTAGATTGGTTTAGAGTAGAAGCTCACTGTCTAACATAGGGGATAGATATTGGAAAGTAATTGTAAATATAGTCCATGTAGTATTTAGTATAAAGACATAACACCACCCCAGGGGCAGGCAGAGTGTCCTGAGCTGTCTTGCCTAACTGACCTCAGCAGGACAGGAGAAAAAATTTTATCGATAAAGAACAATAAACAACCTTGAGACCAAGAACTGAAGAGCTCTGTCTCCTTCGAGTGCCAGGCTGGGAAAAGAGACTTTCAAATTTCAACACCCAATGACCAGAACCCCTGGTTGCCTCCCTCCCTCCCTCCCTGCAGTGCCCAGCGCTCCTCCACGGAAGGTGGAGGTGGAGGTGCTCAACTCCTCGGCCATCCAGGTGTTCTGGCGCTCGCCGGTGCCCAGCCGGCAGCACGGCCAGATCCGCGGCTACCAGGTGCACTACGTGCGCATGGAGAACGGCGAGGCCAGGGGGCTGCCCCACATCAAGGACATCATGCTGGCTGATGCCCAGGTAAGGGCTCACCTGGGCCAGCCCCGGGAGGCTGGGGAAGGGGGGATGTGGCTGTTCTGGGCAGTGTGACTCTGCTAAAGGGCCAAAAGGGGATATGGGACAAGGTGTGGCTGTGTCTTTGCCGCACCTCTGTCTCTCGTTTGTGCTCCCAATGTTGCTGTGGAAGAGTATGAGCTGCTGTCCCAGCACTGAGATAGATAAATATCCATCCATCCATTCATCCTTGCTGTGTCTGGGAAGTCTTTTAATTCAGGCCAAGGCCGCAGTGGAATCTACTAATTTCTCCCACTCTACTTCTTCCCTCATGCTTGCCTGGTAACTTCTGACCTTGTGTGGCTGCTTGCTCAGGGACTCCTTCCTCATGCTGTGTCTCTGTCTTTCCCTTCTTTCCCCTCTTGTATTCTCACGTGCCAAACCTCTCTTGTTCTCTGCCCAGTGGGAAACAGATGACACTGCTGAATACGTAAGTAAAAACATCAAAATCCTCCTATGCTGGTTCTGCCTCTTCCCTTCTCCCACTTCCTGTTGTGGTGTGATATTTTCCTTTTCCTTTTTTTTTTTTGGTTTTGTTTTTTGCAGTGCAAGTGTGCCTGTTTTAGAGCCTGGTTTTGGTGTTCCCATGCATTGTCCCCTCCCTGTCACTGCTCTGTGCCCCTCTGTGATCGTGTCGTTTGTCAGCACGCAGCAATCCCACAGGGTTTTCCCTTTGGCTCTGAAGGAAAGATGGGTCTGCTGCTCCTCCACGGGGAAGCAGATGGCATATTGAATTTGGGACTGCTTTGAACAGATGAGAATCCTAAAATAGTTTGGATTGGAAGGGACCTTAAAGGCCATCTTGTTCCACTCCCAGCCAGGAGCAGGGACACCTTCCACCAGGCCAGGGAGCTCAGATGGGCTGCTTTGTAACCTCTGTGTCTGGAAAAGATAGCCTGGGAAGCACTGGGAGCACAGAATCCATGAGTCCTGAGCTACCACAGCATGAACAAATGCTTTGTGCTCTCAAAGGGCCGAGATTCTTAGAAACTCATTGATGCAAAGCACTGAATCATTATTGGTGCTTTTCCTTTTGAAGTACCTTAAAATCAGCTTGGCTGTTTGGCATTTTCTATTTCTGCTAAAATGATAAATGCTTTCCAAAATCCTACAGCTACCAAGAAGTAGGAGAAAGCTTTTTCTTCTTGGAACGGCAGAGTTCTGAGATAAAACACAACTAAACTGGTGGTGTTTGTGTCTCCTGGGCATTGCCAATGCCCTGCACAAGTGAGGGGCCTCCCTTTGAGGGATGGGGAATGAGCCTCAGGGAGGCAAAGCCCCTTTCCTAAAATCTTCATAAAGCTCAGTGGCAGATGTGAGAGCAGAACAATTTTCTTGACTTCCAGGAGCCAGACCTGACCCTGTCTCCAAAGTCACTGATCAAAATCCCACTGTTGCAAAGTTCTGCTGTTCCACTCCCAGCTCACCATCAGGGGAAATAGTTATTTCCAGGACTAACAAATTCTTCCCAAGTGCTGCCCTGAGATTTAATATTGAATGCACGAAGGGGTGAGGAGAGGGGAAAGCCATAAAACATGCACAACATTCCCATCTCCCTCCTTTCTGGGGCCTTGGGGAAAACCCTGCTGCATGTGCTGTCATCCTGTTTGATTTAGCACGGGTGTTCCTTTTCCAACACAGCCCTTTGAAAGGCTGCATCCCTCCTGGGAAAGGGCTGTTCTTGAGGCCAGTGTTCCAACAAAAGCTCCTGGGAGCCAGGTGTGGGGAGGCTGATAGAGGATGGGAAGGAGGGGGTGGGATTTAGCAGGGAGCTTTAGCGTGAGCAGAATGTGTCGTCTTGCACTTTGCATTCAAGCAATCCCTTTAATATTATGAAAGCATTAAAAATATCTCTTGAGGAGGGAAGAGAGGGGTAATGGTGAAAAAAAAAAAATGTAATCTCCCTGAAACCTCTGAGCCTCCTCTGAGGCCGCAGAGTGGAGAGGAAAGCTTTGAAGGGAGAGACAGCATTTGGATGCTGAAGTGGTTTGTGTGAAGACAGGGAATGTGTGAGAGGCAGATCTGGAGGAGGCTGCCTTGCACAGGGCCCTGCAGAGCCAGGCTGTGTTTGCAGAGCTGTGAGTGCCTCTCCAGGGGAACGGGGCTCTCCCCCTCTGCCACTTCCCACAGAAGCCCCAGAGTGTCTCGTGCCCTTGGATTTGGTGTTCCTGCATGCTGGAAAAGGGCTGAGCCTCCTGCCAGGAGGAGAGGGCTGCTCTTGGGTGTGGGCCTGAATATTGACATGATTTCCCTTTGGCATCTGGCAAACAGGAAATGATCATTGCTGGGCTCCAGCCCGAGACTGCCTATTCCATCACCGTGGCCGCCTACACCATGAAGGGAGATGGTGCCCGCAGCAAACCCAAAGTGGTCACCACCAAGGGTGCAGGTGAGAGCCTTTTCCTCTGCCAGTGGGATTCACCCCTTCCCTAAAGCCAAGGGGCTTCTCCAGACTCACCTTCTTTCATCCCACTCCCTCCTCAAATGACAGACTTGCAGCAAGAGCCAGACTGCCCCAAAGGCAAAGTTAGATTGAGGGCGGCAGAAACCCCTTCATTCCTCACATGCAGCCCTCACCAAATGTCACCATTTTCTGTCCAGTGCTTCAGAAAGCCCAGGCACACCCAGAAGCACAACACAGGATGAATTTGTCCCTTGTAGTGTCTTGGGCTGTAAATTCCAGTGCATCAGAAGGACTGGAGAGACTGCAGCTTTGCAGGTGGCCCAGGCAGGTACACTGGGGACAGCACAGCTCTGCTCTCAGGGTGCTGACTTGCAAAGACCTGAGGAGCAGCAGGCAGACAGTGGTGCTTGTCTTGCCCACTCTTCTCTTCTGGTACCATGTCTGGTGTGCATCCTCTGTGTTCAGGACTGCTGGAGGGAGAAACTCTGACAGTATTGACCTTTCCTGGCTCCCATTTCTGGGATCTGGGCTCTGCCTGCACATACCAGCCAAAGCCTTTTCCTTCACTCACCCTCTTCTCCTTCTGCCCATGTTTCTCCTCCTAACTTCCAGCTTCTCTGCTTTCCTTCTTCCTGAGGCTCCCCACCCTCTCTGCTTTCCTCTCCTGGAGCCTTTCTCTCTGCCTGGCTCCCTTGTCACTCTCCCTTGTCACCCTCCCTCATCTCTTCCATTAGGATTTGCAGTGCAGGTGATCAGTCACAGAGGGATGTTTTCTCCAGCACAGCAGCTATTACCCAAAACTCAATTTCCCCTGACTTGAAATAGCTATTTAAAAAAAAAAAATCTTTCAAATGGCTCTGTAACATTCTTACCTTCTTTGCAGTATTGAGTCAATACACCTTCTGAGAGGAGAGATTTCTTTCTTTATCACTCAGGGCTGGGGGCTGAATTTAAATACAGTAATACATCTAATTTTCTCCTTTACTGTCCAAACCAATTGCAAAATAAAACACTTCCCCCTCTCTGAACTTTCTTCTCACCTTTATTCCAAACAATATTTGTTGTGCAGATGTAATACTTCCAAGCTCAGCTGATTACAGTAACGTTTGTGATAAAAACTGAAACATAAAGGTAATGGCACTCTTTTTCTCTTTAATGTGTTCCTTGGGCATTCCCAGGGGAGGAGGCTGGCTCTCCCTGCCATTCTTTGGCACTTTGGAAGGAATGCAGCATTTGTTTCACAGACAGCCCCTCATCCCCAGCGAGGTGTCAGTGGAGGCAGCAGGCAGAGTTCCCCAGTGTGACCCTTTCAGATCCTGCCCTGCTCCCTCCTTCCAGCATTGCAGCCCTCACCCCTTGGTCAGGCTCCTGCTGTGGGACATCTCCCAGCTCCATTTCTCTCCTCCTGTCCAAGCAGGAGGAATACCAAGGCAGAGAGAAGGAAATTAGATCTCTAATAGTGGAGCTGAGTGTCAATGACGCGTGAGCTGCTGGAATTAATGCTCTGCTTTCTCTGGCTTCGGGGATCTCTGGGCCTGCACGTGTCATTTAACTGTGGCTGTGGGCTTGCTTAGCAGTCAGCCAGTGCCAGGGCTCATTAGGCAGAGACATGGCACTGCTGAGCTCCCCAGAACCCCCAGACGTGGAGGAGCTCACTGAAAATGCACCAGCACTGTGAGTTCCCTGCCTCCAGAGGAGAGGAGCAGCACAGAGAGAGCAGCAGCTCTCCCTGCCCTCTGCCTCACACACATTTTGGGCTCTGGCTCCTCTGCCTGTGCTTCCTTCTGTACCCAAGTGGGTGATGAGCTGCCTGCCAGCCGTGTGAGCTGGCCCTGTGCCTGCTGCTCAGGACCTGGGGCTGCCCAGACTTCCTTCCATCCTTCATTGCTTCACCCTCAGCTGCTCTGGACTCCCCAGCCTGGGCCAATCTGTTCCAGGCTCTTTCTGCATGAGCTGGGCTGTGTAATGGAGAGAGGGAGGGAGGCTGGGACTTTGGAGACTCTAGGTTTGTTTTTCCCTGCCCTGGGAAGCAACTGGGACAGGAGGCTGGGAGCCTAACTCCTGAGCCTGTCCTTCCCAGTGGTGGAGGGTGAGTGGTCCAGGGACAGGGGAGGAGCTGTGCACATCCTGAACAAAGGGAAGAAAATAAATTCAGGAATGTGTCAGCAGCTCACAGCTGACATGCTGGCAGTGCTCCTCATTTCCCAAACTGTTTAGGGTGTACAGGGTGGCAGCAGTTGGGGTTCCATGGAGCTGAAGAGTCCCTGCAGCTCCCGTGTCTCTCTTCTCTCCCAGTCCCAGGAAAGCCCATCCTGTCTGTGCACCAGACAGAGGAGAACACCCTGCTGGTGAAGTGGGAGCCGCCGCTGGGCGCCGAGGGCCAGGTGCTGGGCTACCGGCTGCAGTTTGGCCGCAAGGACGTGGCCCCTCTGGCCACGCTGGAGTTCTCGGCTCAGGAGGATAAGTACATCGCCAGCAGCATCCACAAGGGCGCCACCTACATCTTCAAGCTGGCCGTGAAAAGCCGGGCTGGCTTCGGGGAGGAAGCCGTGCAGGAACTCAGCACCCCCGAGGACATCCCCAAGGGGTACCCCCAGATCCTGGAGGCCAGCAATGTCACGTCCATGTCGGTGCAGTTCGGCTGGCTGCCCCCCGTGCTGGCCGAGAGGAACGGCGCCATCGTCAAATACACCGTGGCCTACCGGGAAGCCGGTTCTCCCGGGAACCTGCTGGAAAAAGAGCTGCCCCCCTCCCCAGAGAACTCGTACACCCTCAACGGCCTCAAACCCAACACCGCCTATGACGTTAAAATCCGTGCTCACACCAGTAAAGGCCCCGGGCCCTACAGCCCGACCGTCCAGTATCGGACGTTCCAGCTGGACCAAGGTAGGACTCACCGGTTTCTCCTCCCTCTCTCCCCTTGTATCCGGGGCTGGTGCCGGGAGGCAAGAGAGCTGGAGAGGTCAGGCCGGGCTCAGCCAGGCTCGTGAGTAAATGCAAAGCACTCTGGTGTCACACTCAGTCCCTCCGCTCCTCTCTGCCTTGGGCCAGGTAAGTCCCTTTTACCGCTTTCTTCTAAGTTAAGTCCGGACACCTCCTGTCACTGGCACCTGAAGGGGGGGCCAGTCACTCTACAGGTGGGAAGAGCATTTTCTTCAGCTTTTGCAAGCAGCCAAAAGAAAAGAGCAAAAATTAAACAAATAAAACAAACAAAACCCTCAAGCCGTGACCTGGGATGGGTTTTTCTTCACCTGAGCATGCTCAGCCAGGCAGCACCTCGTTCCTGCAGCAGCCACCCAGGCCCAGAGTGTGGGGGCACAGCCACGTGCCCTGCTGGGGTTAGGCACGGGGACAGGGAGCACTGGGAGATGGACCTTGGCAAAACTCAAGCACAGTGGAGGAGGGAGCAATCCCTTCAGTTCCTGCAGCCGCAGCCAGACCCAGCCTGGCAGGCCCCTCTTCCAGCACTTGACATTCTCTTCCTTCTCTTTCCTGCTCTTCCTTCCCTCTGCTGCCTTTTCTTCTCCTTTCTCCCCTTCCTCCTCACTTTTTTCTCTGCAGTTTTACCCAAAAACTTCAAGGTGAAGATGGTGACAAAGACATCCGTCCTTCTGAGCTGGGAGTTCCCTGAGAATTACAACTCTCCTACCCCATACAAGGCAAGTGGAGGGCAGGAGTTTCTCCCCCGTGTGTGCCCCAGCTCTGCAGGGCTGGGTGCTCCATGTTCCCTGCACATGGAAGGGATGGGGAGGAAGGAGCTTGCTCAGGGAACAACCTCCCCCCCTCCCACAGATCCAGTACAACGGGCTGCACGTCGACGTGGACGGCCGGACCACCAAGAAACTCATCACGCACCTGAGGCCCCGCACCTTCTACAACTTCGTGCTGATGAACCAGGGCAACAGCATGGGGGGGCTGCAGCAGAACGTGGCAGCCTGGACTGCTGCTGACATGTTGTCCAAGAAGCCAGAGGTGACCCACAAGCCTGATGCTGATGGCAACGTGGTGGTGATTCTCCCTGACGTGAAGAGCTCTGTGCCTGTCCAGTAGGTTTCTGTTTAACTGCAGGGGTGGGTGCTCGGTTTGTGTTTTGGGGGTCAGCCCTGATGGCTGGAAACCCCCAGGGGCAGTACCAGGAGGGTGATCCCTGCATTTCCAGCCTTCCTGACTGTTCCACAGCTAACAGGGAAAGCCAAAGAAGTGTGCAGGGAGTGCACAAGGAGACGTGGGGCTGCCACTGCGTCCAGCTCTTTCCAGGAACGGCAGCTGTGCTGAATGCAGAATAAGGGGCTCGAGCCAGTGGGGCAGTTTGGGCAAACTCACATCAGTGTGTGTGCTCCCTTCTTCCATGGCTCATTCCTTCTGTTTCTTCTTGTCATTCCCAACATTTAGAGCTTTCTACATTGTGGTGGTGCCTCTGAGGAAGTCCCGGGGAGGACAGTTCCTCAACCCCCTGGGCAGCCCTGAGGAGATGGACCTGGAGGAGGTGAGTGTGGGTGAAACTGGACTCAGCTCAGGGGGAGAGAGAACAGCGGGAATGGGATGGGGACCTGAGGGCTGGGAGGGGGGTTTGGGAACCTGTGCTCCCCAGACTGGCAGGGGGATTTGGATACCAGTGCTCCTCATCAGGGCTGGGAGGGGGATTTGGGGTCCCTGTGCTCCTCATCAGCACTGGGAGGGGGATTTAGGGTTCTTGTGCTCCTCACTCAGGGCTGGGAGGGGGATTTGGGTACCTGTGCTCCTCATCAGGGCTGGGAGGGGGATTTGGGGTCCCTGTGCTCCTCATCAGCACTGGGAGGGGGATTTAGGGTTCTTGTGCTCCTCACTCAGGGCTGGGAGGAGGATTTGGGGTCCCTGTGCTCCTCACTCAGGGCTGGGAGGGGGATTTGGGTACCTGTGCTCCTCATCAGGGCTGGGAGGGGGATTTGGGGTCCCTGTGCTCCTCACTCAGGGCTGGGAGGAGGATTTGGGGTACCTGTGCTCCTCACTCAGGGCTGGGAGGGGGATTTGGGGTACCTGTGCTCCTCACTCAGGGCTGGGAGGAGGATTTGGGGTACCTGTGCTCCTCACTCAGGGCTGGGAGGGGGATTTGGGTACCTGTGCTCCTCATCAGGGCTGGGAGGGGGATTTGGGTACCTGTGCTCCTCCTCAGGGCTGGGAGGGGTTTGGCTCTCCCTGCTGCCCTCAGGGCAGTGCAGGCTCTCAGGTGCTCTGTGCCCCCGCAGCTGGTGCAGGACATCGCGCGGCTGCGGCGCCGGAGCCTGCGGCACTCGCGGCAGCTGGACTTCCCCCGGCCCTACATTGCCGCCCGCTTCCGCTCGCTGCCCTCCCACTTCATCCTGGGGGACATGAAACACTACGACAACTTTGAGAACAGAGCCCTGGAGCCAGGACAGAAATACGTGCTCTTCATCCTGGCCGTGCTGCAGGAACCCGAGGCTGTAAGTGCTGCCCCTGCTTCCCCCAGCCCTTCTGCTCCCTGCCCCAGCCCTGCTGCCCTCCTGGCATCCTGGAGGGGATTTTTTCTTTCCAGCTGTGCCTCTTGTGCCTGATGAGCTGCTTGTGCTTGTGCCTGCATTTGTCTCCTCCAAGCACCAAGGACAAGAGGAGCTGTGATTGTCCCAGTCGTTGTGGGCAGACCTTGCACGTTTGTGACTCCAGACTGGAGTCCAGAGTGGGAGGAACAGTGAAATATCCCCTCAGGACAGCACCAGAGTTCAGAGAGCCCTGGGTCAAACCCCTTTTTGAACTGTAATTTTCTTTAAAGGCTGTTCTTTAACTCCTCAGAGCAATGACCCCAGACATCCTGCTCCTAGAGTATGTCACACTCTGGGCATTGCTGAGTTCCTCTTCAAGCACAGAGATTTCCATTTTTTTATGGAAAACTACAAGTTCTGTCTACCAATTCAGTATCTCTGCTGTTTTCACTGGGGCTGTACTTGGCTTTATGAAAACAACTATTTTAATATTTACCTGAGTCCTCCCTCACACACAATAGGAAACAGCCTAATGCTTTGTTGTTTTTAAATCCCCCTATGGAATTGTAGCGGGGAGCTATTGGAAATTAAGGGTTTTCAGAGGTTTTTTTCCCCAATAAATATTTACTTGTGTATTTGATATTAAAGGATTAGGCTGACACGCTCCTGAATGGGTTTCTCAATCGGATTACTGCAGCTTGAGGTAATTTCTGCTTTAGAACAAGGTGCTGCAGACTCACTCCCAGTGCCCTGGATCTGCAGCAGCTCCTGAGTGTGGAGCAGCATTCCAGCCTGCTCAGAGCTGATGGAGTTCAAGGACCCAGAGCCCCTGTTCCTGTCCTGTCCCTGGCTGCTCTCCCAAAGCAGGCCGTGCCAGTTCTCTGTGCTGTTCAGTTCCTGGGTAGGATGGAAATTCATCCTTTGTCAGAACTCTGAAGGATTTGAATGTGCTCTGATCCTCCTCAAGAACCAGCTCAGTGCAGAGGCAGCAGAGGACACACACAGTGTTTTACTATTTTGTATTTATTTGTCAGGGTTGTTTTTTCTCAGTCACCAGACCAAGCATTAATTCTTGTTTTAATCCCTTCCCTCTTGCTCTGTAATCCCCTCTGACTGTCAAAATCCAGATGGTTATGTGAGAGCTTGGGCAGTGTTTGTGTGTTTGTGGCAGTGGTGAGGGCTCGGGGCTGTGCTGGAACAGGAGCAGCAGGAATGACAGACAGACACAGGGCAGGCTGCAGCCTCACATGAGTGAGATCTTTCCATGCTCTGTCTCACTGCAGCATTGGAAGATACCCCTCATTAGATGCCCAGGAACAGGGCATTTTCTCTGGGCTGAAGAGGGCATTTTTCCCTGTCAGCACTGGAGTTGTGCTGCAGAGAGATCACACCCTCTCCAGCAGTTCCTCCTGTGGAATATCCTGTGCTTGGCCCCTCTTCAGTCCCATCCCACCTCTGAGCTGTGTTCCACCCCATTCCCTGTCTTGCAGACCTATGCTGCCAGTCCCTTCTCTGACCCCATCCAGCTGGACAACCCTGACCCCCAGCCCATCATTGATGGTGAGGAGGGGCTCATCTGGGTCATTGGGCCCGTCCTGGCCGTGGTCTTCATCATCTGCATCGTCATCGCCATCCTGCTCTACAAAAAGTAAGAGCTGCTCACTCCTCAGATGGTTCTGAGTGTGCCCAGGGCCCTAAAGGGGATTTCTGTCCTGCTCATGAGGGGAAATCCTTCCCTGAGGCACAAATGCTGGGATGGGAGAGTGTGCCCAGCACAGGAGGGATTAGCAGGGATTTGCTGCTGCAGGTTGTGCCCTCCCAGGAAAGCTGTGCCTGTCCCACAGACACTCCCTTGGGCACTGAGAGTGTCAGGACTCCCTGTGGGCACTGGGGGATGCAGGGGAGGCACCCCTGGGCTATGGGGCAGCAGAGACCTCCACTGCCCTCAGACTGGTTTCCTGCTGGAGCTGGGGGACAGGAGCAGGCTGTGAGTCTTCAGGAGAGAGAAGGGAAAACCTTTTTTTGTCTCCCTTTCCCTTGGCTTTCTGAGCAGCTCATGGGGTGTGGATGGGAGCTGGGGGTCCCTGAGCACACACAGGGCAAGGGAAGGGGACAGCAGGGGCTGAGCAAAGTGAACAAAGGTGACAATGGCCAGCAGAGGTGTCCTTAGCTAGGACAGCTCATTCCCAGGGTGGGGGGAGCTCTCCCAGCCCTGCTCCATCTCTGCTCTGGGCAGGACTCAGGGTCCTGGTTGGTGTCCCTGTGGCTGGGTGATCTTTGCTGCTCCCACCTCTGCTGCCAGGGTTAGAGCTGGGCAAATGCCTCCCCCTAGCTCTGCAAGTCCTTTCTAACCTGAGCATTTGTCTTGTCTTCTCTCCACTTACTGCTTTCCTGGACAGCAAACCAGACAGGTAAGAGCACCAGATTTGCCATTTATTCGGGTTCTTGCTTGCTGTGTGTTAAGCAGTGTTTGCTGTGTGGTGTTGGGGCTGGGACCATGTTTGAATTGGGGCAGAAAAAGCAAAGCAAGCCCAGCTTTCTCCTGTTTGTCCATTCCTAAATGAAACAGCCCTTCCCCAGGTTGGGCAGCAGTGACAGTAAATGGCTCATAAAGTGCTGGTTAATGGGGCAGAGCAGCTCTCATTTGTGTGGCAGGCAGAGGTGAGAGTGGGTTTCTGCATGTCTGGCTGCTCCACACGGGCTGTCCTGAGCCCCTGGCACAGTGCAAGCAGCATTCTCACAGCTGGGCTGGCCTTGTGCTGTGGCAGAAGCTGCTCTTGCCCCTCAGCCAAGGGCTTCTGACAGAGTCTGTTTATGATGCAGAAATGAGACTTTTCCCCAACCATTCCCAAGGCTGGAAGAGCTTTCACTGATGGGTTCAGTCCATGAACTGTTAACAGCAGCTTCAGAACTGCAGCAAAAATAAACCTGAACTGCAAAGTGGTGTCATTCCAAAACGCTGCCCCATGCAGTGCTGGCAGGGCTCAGACCACTTCTTCTGGCTATTAATGACATCAAGAGACAGCTCAAAATGTCCTGAATAACCTCCTGTCTGCCTAAGTGATTGCCATTGCTGCTGCAGGCAGATGATTGGAGGCTTGAGCAGGAGAGGTGAGGAGCTCCACAGCCCCTTGCTGGAAGGGCTGGACCACCTTTCCCACCTCGGGGTGGGGGCCACATTCTCTGCTCTCTGCAGAGCTTCAGCTCCCAGCAGCTCATCGCTGCCTCCCTGCAAGGAGTTATCACATCTTTAGGTCAGCACTGGGCTTTGCTTCTAAATTCTCTTCAAGGAGAATGAGCCAGGTCAGCAAAGACTTTTTCAGCTGCCTGAGCTAACCTAAGCCATTTGGAGGGAAATATATTGGGAAGCACTTGCATGTGCAGCTCAGCTGGCGGGTTGGAGCAGGCTCTGGTGCCTGGCAGGGAGAGGTGGATCTCAGCAGGCACAGCTGTGCTGGGAGAGGATGTGTCTACACTGTTTGTTGAACCCACATTTTTAGGGTTCTGCAGTTCAAAGAAGGTTGAAAAGTGCTGCTCTGACTTCTCTGCCTGCAGCAGAGCAGCTCTGAGAGCTCCTGAACAAGCCAACAGCAATATCAGAGCTCAAAACCCAAGGTCATGGCCAGGAGGTTCTGTATTTTTCCAAACGATTCCGCTGCCTCTGGTGCTCTCAGGCTGGAAGTGGCTTGGCCAGATTGGAACATTTTTTGCTCTGCAGAGTTCAGTGGAGGCTGCTCTGAGCAGGGAGGGTGAGGTGTGAGTTCACAGCACCTCAGCTGCTCCTGGCTGCCAGTCTGTGCTGCTGCTGGGAGAAGCTTCCAGACTTACCTGAAAGCTGCTCAGGCCATTGTGAGCCCCTAAAACATAGCCCTGGCAAAGCTCCCAAACCTCATCCCTTTTCTGATGTGTTTTATTTCCTTACACCCTTGGCTGCACCTTTGCTTTTCTGTGGGAGCTTTGCTCCTGCCTGAACATGAGTAGCTGAGAAACAGCTGAGACCTCAAGGCCCAGAAGTTAAGCTGCTTTTTCTTTCTGGTCTCTTTTGTTTCTTTTTTGGCTTTGTTGTGAAGCAAACGCAAAGATTCAGAGCCACGGACCAAGTGCCTCCTGAACAACGCTGAGATTGCCCCCCACCACCCCAAGGACCCCGTGGAGATGAGGAGAATCAACTTCCAGACTCCAGGTAACCTGCTGCTGACCAGCCTGACCTGCTGGGGAGGCAGGAGGGGACACCTGGCCCTTCCCTGAGCCCTCCCTGCCTGCCTGCAGCTGCTGAGACACGGCCTGGAGAGCCAGAGCTGCCCCTGGGCACTGCCTGGAGAGCCAGAGCTGCCCCTGGGCACAGCCTGGAGAGCCAGAGCTGCCCCTGGGCACGGCCTGGAGAGCCAGAGCTGCCCCTGGGAACTGCCTGGAGAGCCAGAGCTGCCCCTGGGCACTGCCAGGGAGCCCCAGCCCTGTCTGTGCTGAGTGGGGATGCTAAGAGCCACCTTTGCTGGCATCCTCAGGGACCTTGCTTAGGCCGTGCCCAGTGCTGGCAAGGCAGAAGAAGGGTTTTCCTGGATTTCCAGAGAAATTGGTGCATTCTGGGCTGAGCTGCAAACACCATGGCTGTGCCAGTGCTGCCCTGTGCCCCAGCTGGGAGCTCCTGGGTGGGGAGATGCAGTGTGGCAGTGCTGCCCAGGGCTCCAGCCACACCTGGAACTGGTGCTCTCTGCTGCCAAACCACTCCTGCAGGCAGCCAGGCCTGCCCCTGGGCTGTGCAAGGGGAAAGGAGCTGCTTGGAGCAGGTGAGGCAGCTTCTCCTCACTTGGTGCAGATGCTGTGATGGAATCCCAGGCTGCTTTGGCTTGGGAGCACCTTAAAGGCCACTCAGTTCCACCCCAGGCTGCTCCAAGCTTTGTCCAGCCTGGCCCTGGGCAGTGCCAGGGCTGGGCCAGCCTGTGTCACAGTGCTGAGCTCTGTGCCCCTCCCTCCTGCACACACGTGTCCCCATGTCCATGCATGTCCCACTGCCTGCATGGCACCTCTGCAGCACCACTGACACCCCGAGGGACACGTGGCCATGCTGACCCAGTGCCTGTCCACACCTCTGCCTCCAATTCCTGGTGCTCGAGGCTTTGGAAGGGAATTTATTGTGCTTTTTGGGGGCTGGCTGTTGTTTTCAGTTTGTTTGGTTTTTGTTTTTGTTTTTTTTTTTGCTGTTTGTGCTCGTTAGTAATGTTTCTGTAGCTCCTGTTTCCCCATCCCAGTCCTGTGCTTAGCATTGTCCAGTTTCCTTAGGGTGGGGCTGACAGGAGGGACAGAGAGCAGGGGAGGCACAAAGGCAGGGCTGGGCTGAGGGGCTCTTATCAAAATGACATAGGAAGCACTGATAACGGCTGAGGGGCTCTTATCAAAATGAGATAGGAAGCACTGTTGGAATCAGCCCAGGCTTAGGAGCAATGCAGAGCAGGTTCACTGCAGGGACAGCAGTCCAGCACAGGTAGGTCCCTAAATCAGCTCTTAGTGCTGCTGCAGGAGAATCTGGAGGTGTTGGAGATGTTCTGAGTGCTCCCAGCCGCAGCTCAGCAGTTTGTCTGGGTTTGTTTGGTGCTTCCTTTGGGAGCATCCTGTGGGTGCTCCAGGTGGAGGGAGGTGGGAGACCCAAGAGAAGGAGCTGCACTGCCTCAGATGAAAAGACTGTGCTGAGATAAAAATAAAAAGCTGTGGCCTTCCAGCTTGGTGCCAAGAAGCAGCTGGAAGTGCTGGTCCATGTGTTTCCCTGTCTGTGTGCCACAGGACAGCAGAGTCAGCTGAGGGTGCTTCCAGCAGGTAATGGGATGGATGGGGTCAGTCTTGTGTTAACCCCACTGCTTTGGACATGCTGTACCTCTCAATTCTGGCTCTGGGAGGTTTATAAAGGGTACCTGAGACACCCAGACCTGTATGAAAGCTCTGCAGATCCCAAAAGACACTGCCTGTGTCCAGTCTGCCTTTTGGAGATGCTTTCCTTCCCAAGTCTCTCTGGCCAGAGCTGACCCACCTGGTGTTACTCTGCTCTGTCATTTGTTAAGCACTAAAAGGTTTTAAAGGATTTGGGGGAGTCAGGATCACCTGCCTCCCACAGAATTTTGGAAACATTGGGTGAAAATGGAAATGGATGGAAAAATGAGCTTGGAGTGTGTTGGTGGTCGTGGTGCAGTTTGCAGGGGAAGAGTCCACAGGAGCTGTCTGAGTTAAAAGCATTTAAATTCAATAAATTGTGGTTCAGAAGGGGCCTGTGGGCTCTTCTCCAGACAGGTGATCCCAGGTAGAATCTCCATCAAAACAGAGGAGGGACATGGGAGTGGGAATGTGCAGCTCAGAGAGGGGAAAGCATAGCACACCTTAGATATCCTGTCCTAATCAACACAAAAATACCTTTCTTTTCCTCTTTAGATTTATGTTGGTTTTGTTTTTTTTTTTAATTAGCATGAAATTTTTACAAAAGTGTATCTTTTATTTATTTATTTTTTACTGTTTTCTGCAGATTCTGGTCTGAGCAGCCCTCTCAGTGACCCTGAGTTTGACTTGGAAAGTTAGTTCCTGTGTGTTTTTGTTCCTGTTGGTTTCATTTTTCCCCCTCCCATTATTATTTTCCTCTTCTACCACTTTCCTTTCCAATTCTTGTTCTGTTCCTGTTACTATTTTTTGATTTTCCTGCCGAATTCTCCGTGTTCCTGCGGTGTTTGCCCATCTCATCCCTTTTCTGTGCCATCTGTGTGTCTGAACTGTGCTTCCAGTTTTACAGTTCCCCCTTAGAGCCCTTTGGAGGACAGGGGAGCAGCTGGGTTCCCATCCAGCCCTCGCTGTCCCAGGAGGATCCAGGGCTGCCTTTCCCCTTGTGGAAGTTGTTCCATGGCTGCTGCTTGGCTCAGTGTCCTCAGTGTCCCCTGTTTTTGTGCCCTGGTGTCACTGGGGGTTGTGCTTTGGTGTTTGCAATGCAGGGAAAGAAAAACTGGAGCTGCAGCTGCTGATCCCCCTCTGAAAGAGCCATGAAAGCACCTTTTCATTCAGGGGGGAAAAATTATTTCCCAGCTGTGGCAGGGCCTGCTCCTTGGCACTGAGCTGTTCCAGCAGCACAGGGAGCAGAGGCCACCCCAGATCTCACAGAGTGCCTCCAGCCGCGGTGACTTTGCAGGATAAATGGGCTCTGGGCACGGAGCAGATGTTGTTAGGGTGACGTTTCTGGCGACTTGGCTGGTGCACAGAGAATCAAGTCTTTTGTGATAAGATTAGAGAGATTCAAGTGATTGAAATGTTAGATGAGACTGGCTCGGAAAGATTTCATCCCATTAGGAGCCAAGATCCCAGCCTTGCTGGGTGGTGTGGGCTTGGATTTTTCCTTTTAATACTGGGCAGGGAAGGATGTGAGGTTTCAGCTGACAAATGTGAAGAGTCACAGATGCTGCTTGTGCTGGGAGATGCAAGGGCTGGGAAATTTACACCAAATATTGGTTTGTTTGGTATGGAATATATCACAATTGTCCCCTCATTGTAACAGAGGGGATGTGGGTATTTTCCTGGCTGAACTCAGCTTCTCACACCCCAGATGAGTTCCTGAATAAAGGAGAGAAAAGCTGAGGCAGTGCCACTCCTGCCTCGTTCCATGGCCAACTCCTGGATCCTGCTGCAAACCCCCTGCACCTGGCACTTTGACCAGGGCAGTGTTTATTGCTGCAGAACTTCTTTTATTCCAAAGAGCCCTAGGAAACAATCCCATGAGGAGTTTCTGTCCTTAGCAGCAGCAGAACAAGTTCCCATTGCTCCCAGCCAGGCTCTGTCAGGGAGGGTTGGAGGGGAAGCAGGATGGTCCCAGCAAAGGGCAGAGCTGCTGGGGTCACACTCTGGGCTTTTGCTGGAGTTTTATGAAGGAAATCTGTGAAATTCCTTCAAGGGGAAGGTGAGTCCTCATTCCAGATTGGCACAGAGGGCTTTTCCCATGCAGCCCACAGGCTCAGAGGTTCTTGCTCATGTTGCTCCATGACTTCTGAGCCAAGGAGGATCTGGGGTTTTTCTTGCTTGTTATAACTGAAGTTTCTGATTGTTTATCTTCTCCTTTTAGCCTACATACCCATCGAGTGTTGGTGGTGTTAAACTGGTTTGGTCTGATCTGGAGCATCCCAGCTAGGGTGGCCTCCCCATCCCACACTGGGAGAGGACCAGCTCCTGCCACCACCCCAGCCTGCAGCTGGTGCTGGGCTGGATGGCAGCCCCCTCCATGCAGGAGGAGCAATAACCCCTCCTCCAGGTGTGATGGAACAGGACAGCAAGAGATTAAATGGGAATTTTTCCCTCCATGAGCCCAGAGAGGTTTCCTGCCCTGATCCCAGCAGGCTGGAATGGAGCCAGCACAGCCCCCAGGATAGTTCAGGGTTATTTTTGTGAGCTTTTTTGGTATATTTCCCCTCTTCATCTATTTTCAGCCCTATTTCCTTGTGCTGAAAATAGATGTGTGGTGAGCTTAGGAGAAACCTGTCGAGGTTTGGCAGACTCACCCCATGCCCAGGCCTGGGGGAAGCAGCACCTCTCCCAAGTCACTGTAAAACTGAGGATGTCATGCTTGCTTTGCCATCTCTGTGCTGAGTTTTCAGAGTATCTGACCATGCTGCTGCCACGCCGCTGCTTTGTCACCCACCAACACCCACGGGGCTCGAAATTCTCCCTGGCTTCCATCTCTTCTCCACCCCTGTCCTTCTCATCGGGGGCGCTGCCCAGGGCTTCTCGCAATGCTGCTCTCCAGGCCTCTGCTGCTGGCAGACAGCATGGGAAGCCTTTGGAAAAACATGATCCCATGCAGATGAGCAAAGCACGGAGAGCTTTTCCTGTGGGTTTGCAACACAAACCTTTGAGGGGCCTTTGAGGGGCTGTGGGCAGGGAAGGGTCTCTGCTCTTCCCAGAGCAGGATGTGCAAATCCCAGGCTGAGAACTGAGTCAGCCATGGCTGAGATTTGCCCCAGCTGGACCAGTCTGACCCAGTGGGACCTCCCAGTATGGCTCCAGTGAGTTCCCTGGCAGGGAAGGGTCTCTGCTTGCTCTTCCCAGAGCTCCAGTGCCCCTTTCAGAGCGGGATGTGCAAATCCCAGGCTGAGAACGGAGTCAGCCATGGCTGCTGGCTGAGATGTGCCCCAGTTGGACCAGTCTGACCCAGTGGGACCTCCCAGTATGGCTCCAGTGAGTTCCCTGGCAGCTCTGGCTGCCTCAACACCAGCACACCAAAGTGCTGGGGGATTGCAGGGGCAGCAGCTGAACCAGCTCAGGACCATCATGCCCAATCCCCCTGCCTGAGGAGGGTCTGCTGCCTGTCCGTCCCAGAAGGTGCCTGGATGGGGCTGCACAACCCAGCCCACAGCACTGGGAGGAAGGGAGGGCTGTGCTGCAGAAGGAGCATCACTCACCAGCCAGGAGAGGGAACAGGAGCCTGCTGGGTGCTTCCAGGCCTGGCTGCACCCTGGGAATGGTGGAGGTCAGAGCTCAGGGCCCATGAGCAAACCGAGAACTTCCAGAGTTCAACGCTGTGCAAAAAACAACCCAGAGGTCGGAAAAGACCTTAAAGATCAAGTCCAGTTCCTGAAAAGCCTCCCCTGCTTCCCCCCATCTGCATATTCCCATCTCCTGCCCACATTCCATGGTTGGCTGGATCTGCCCCTGCCTCCCTTTCTGTTGGAGCTGGTTCCTGATCCTGGCGGGTGCTGTGCCATTTGCTGCGTGGGTTCCTCTGGCAGCGTTTGCTCATTCCAAGTCCACTTTGGAATCGCTAACACGCATCTGCTCTTCGGATTTTCCTTTTTGTTTTTGCTCTGATTTCCACATCGAAAATGGGGCCATCACGGGAACACTCTCATTTTACTGTTTTTTGGTTTTTATTTCCTTGATTTTTATTTTTTTTACTTCCAAGGACACAATTTCGAGCCCTGAATTCTTCTCTTCTAACCTCCCTACTTTCATTGCAGATCTTACATTGTAATTTATTTTCTTTTCTTGTTCCTTCTTTCTTATAAAATGCGCAACGGTTGTGAATTTTAGTCATTATTAAATGAGATCCTTTTCCTGCTGTCTTGTCTTTTAGGTATGCTCAGCCACCCACCCATCCCCGTTTCCGAGCTGGCTGAACACACAGAGCATCTCAAAGCTAATGATAACCTGAAATTATCCCAAGAGTATGAGGTATGAGCAAGAGTGAGTGCTGTGCATGGGTTTGCAGAGCCAGGAATTAGGGAATTCAGACAGGCCTTCATCCAAATGAACAGCTTCATTTTAAAGACCTGGTTAGCTGAAATTTAAAAGCTATTTATGTATTGAAAATTAAGTACTTGCTGAGAGCTTTGCTGGGTTCAGTTCTAGCTCATAAAAAGAAAGAGGTTGGTGCAGGAGCTGCTCCTGTTGGCTCAGCAGAGGCTGAGCTCCCTCAGAGAAGGGATGCAGTCCTGGATGGGATGGAGCTGTCCTTGGGGTGCCCATGATTGCTGCAGGACACAGGAGACCAAGTGAAGGACAGTGACACCCAGTTTTTACAGCTGAGTGTGGGTGAGATGAGCAGGGAGTGCTCCACAGCTGATGCCATAAGCAGCCATGGAGCTAAAGATGGGAAAACAGGATGGTTTGTGCTTGCTTGTCATGTCTGAGGGGTTTGTGCTCATTTTCTCTAGTCTGGCAGTGATAGGGAAAGTGTAATGACCAATCCCAGACTGGTCTGGTTTGGAAGCACCTTAAAGCCCATCCAGTGTCCCCCTGCCATCTGCAGGGACCTTCCCCTGTCCCAGGGTGCCCCAAGCCCTGTCCAGCCTGGCCTTGGGCACTGCCAGGGACCCAGGGGCAGCCACAGCTGCTCAGGACCTTCCCCACCTCACAGGCAGGAATTTCTCCTAACACCCACCCTAAAACCTGTCAGTTTAAAGCCCCTTGAGATATCATCCCATGCCTGTGCAAAAAGCCTCTCTTTGCTCCTGGTTTTGCTGTTGAAAGACACCAAATGCCCTGGCATTTTCAGCCTAATGGTGAGTCTGGACTGGCTGTCTGTTTGCAGGCAGGGAGCCAGGGGATGTTTTCCAATCAAGGGCTGCTTCTCCCTGCCCTGACTCCCTGATCCCCGGGCACCTGGAGCAGGGTCAGGCCTTGGAGAAGGCGCATTCTGCTCTGCCTGGGTCTCTCCTCCCACGCTGGGTCTCGGGGGCAGCAGCAGCAGCTCGTTCTGAGCTCCATCCAGATTCCAGAGGCTGATCTGCATAATGCCACATCCCGAGTGCCCTGGCTCTGAGCCAGCCCAGCCTCCTCCAGAGGGAGAGCCAGAGCTGAACAAACATCGCTAATGAAGTGAAGGCGAGGCATGATTAGAGGGATGGAGAGCAAACAGACACATTACAATAGTATAAATACCCATTAGTTAGGAATTCTCCACAGCCAGAGTGAGCTCTGAGCTGGTTTTGTGCATGGTTTTGTACCAGCTGTGCCCGGGGAGGGTGGGCACAGCCAGGGAGGGCAGTGGGGCTGGCTCAGAGGGGTGGATCTGGGATCTGGGACCCCGTCGCCAAAGGGTGGCAGTCAGAGGGAGAGCAAGCAGCAGCAAACACAGCTCTGCACGTTCCTGCCAAGCCTCCAATTGAGGCAAACCCCAAGGGCTCTGCAAAATGATGAAGGAATTAAGCCCTTGTTTTATTTAATTCTCTGGCTGAGGATTTAGAGGTAAACGTAATTAACCTAATTTCCATATCTGGGACAGCTGGACTTTAGAGAGGAAAAAAAACCCGACCACCAAACCTGGCATAAATCACTAGGACAGGCAGAGGGGATTTTTCTCTCCAGTGCATTTCATTGTTTATTCTTTCATCCCTTCTAAGAAAAACCCATGTTGATTGAGTGTCCTAGGGCTAGGGTCCCTACCCCTGTTTTGTGCTGAGGGATGCACTCTTGTCCCTGCCAGGTTTCTGTGGGGATTCCTCCCCATTTGCACTTGGAAACTTTTGGTGCTGAGTCCAGAGGGGGAATGACCTCAGATGTTCCACCTGGGGCCAAGGGAGATGGGACATCAGCTGCTCCATGGGGCTGGGGCATTCCCACAGCAAAGCTGGGTTCTGGCAAACGGTGATTGCTGCGCTCCTGCAGAACAAGAGCTCTGAACTGCATTTGCTGCTTTTCTCCTCACTGACTCTCCCATTTCCCTTCCCAATCCCTCCAGTCCATCGACCCTGGCCAGCAGTTCACCTGGGAGCACTCCAACCTGGAGGTGAACAAGCCCAAGAACCGCTATGCCAACGTGATCGCCTACGACCACTCGCGTGTCATCCTGCTGCCCATCGAAGGTAGGGAGGGAGCAGCCCCTGCTCCATCCTCCCCAGGATGGATTCCTGCAGGAAACACACTCTTCTCCCCCTGCTCCGTCCTCCCCAGGATGGATTCCTGCAGGGAGCACACTGCACACGCTCTTCTCTCATCTCTATTTATATTCTTCTCTTAACGTCTCCCTGGGAGTTTGGCAAGCAGGAGATACCTCTGTAAACCAAGCATTTGTTAAATTCTGGTGACTGACATATTCCCCTGGAGCTGCAATCCCTCATATCAAGGGCTGGTTTATCAAGAAACTGCCTTCCCTTTGCTTGGAGATGCCTGTTTGATACAGCTCTGACTAACAGGAAGCATTCAGACCACATAGTGTTCAGAGGGAGCAGAGCAGGGTGGTGGAACAACGTGCAGGGCTGCTCAGGGAGGAGTGGGAAGCAAATGTGAGAGGCAGCAGCAGCAAAGATGTGGCCACTGAGTTGTACAAGCACAAAGATCACTTGATATGCAGCCCCTGCTGCAGCCCTGGCCCCTAAAAGGCTGGGGATAAGAAGGGGTTAGAGCAAGCCTGGCGGGTCATAAATTGTTTCCTGAGCTGCTTATGTGAGCGATGGTGCAGTCAGAAAATTTACATTAAATTTCACAACTCGTGGCTTTTGACAGAGCTGCTCCAGTGCACGCCAGGATAAGAGGGGCTTGAGATGGAGTTGAACAGGGCACCTGCTTGGGTTGCTGCTGCCAAGATAATGCTGGAGTTTCATGGGCTCAGGATGTGGCTGTGCTGGGTGGATAAAGCCTTCAAGGCCAGTCTTGCATTGCCAAGAGCTGATCATCAGAGCAGAGAGGATGTGGGATGTCCTGGTAACTGCCTGGTGAATGGAGAGGTTAATTCCAAAGCCTTTGAGGCCAGGGAATTGCTAAAATAATCTCCCTGTGCCGCGGTAGCTCTGAGGGGCACGGGGAAGGGGGAGAGCTGAGGCAGCAGCAGAGCACGGTGATTTGCCAAAAAACTGCACAAATCTGGATTGCTCTGGTCTGCTATTAGAGGGCTTTAAATGTTTCTCCTTGTGAAGCTGACTGTGTTCTGCCTTGGTTTAATTCCGAGATTAATATTGTATGAGCCAAGGAAAGCAGAGGCTTTAAAAAGTTGCTTTGTCATTCAAGGGAGGGGAGAAGAGCACAAGTGAGGGAGTGAAGGACACTTGGGCTGGTCTTGGATCTGGGGCTGGATGCAGGCAGCACTTCCAGCTCTGCCCAGGCCTCTGTGAGGGACCAACAGTGCAAGGATGATGGGCCAAGGTTGAATTTTCAAGCATGTGAGAGGTTTTGACATGCCTTGGCTGCTGTGCTCCTTCCTACCGGGCTCTATTTTATGCTCAGGGCTGGAAGATGAAAGGAGCTGGAGGAATTATAGTTTTGTTGCTTTTTCTTTGTTTGAAACCTGGATTTGTCGAGGATGCAGACTGCCACTGCCTGCTTGGTCAGGAAGAAGCAGTGGCTTTAATTCTGTGACTTCTCTGAAGCTGTGCCTGTCACACAGTGGAACATTGCAGGAGCTCACGCCACCATTTCAAATGACAGAGTGGACCCCAGGGGGCTGCAGAGGAGATTATTCCAGGAGCTCAGCCCTAAACACACTCCTGCCATGGCAGCCACCTTCTCTCCCTCCTGAAATTTCAGACTGGGAGGGAGCAAGGGTAGGGAACCCTGCAGAAATTTAATCAAAAGCCATTTCCCAGCAGCTAAAGTTCCTGAGGGCCCTTGAGGACAGGGCTTGGGCTCTCCCCTCACCAGCTGCAGCCCCCATTGCTGCAGCCCCCATTGCTGCAGCCCAAGCCCCACTGGTGCTGCTCCCCAGCCTTGGCTCCCCTGCAGACAGGAGTGAAGGGCTCTGCACCGAGTTAATCATGGGTTTGCAGATCCTGCCAGCCTTGCCAGGCACTCGCTGTGCTCGGGAGCAGCCAAACCAGCCCCGAGTGCTCCGTGCCAGGCGCCGGCTCCGGAGCTGAACCTGGGCAGCGCCGCCTGCCAGGGGCGTTTTAACTTCAGAGCAGCTTTCTCCTGCCATGTCCCAATCAACCTCTTCACTCTGGCAGTGCCTCCTGCTCATCCCAAACCCTCAAGCAGGGACCCAGGCGAGCAGCTGGAGCTCAATAGCCTGTAACTCATGTGGGTAGGGAAAAAAAAAACACTCTTAAAAATGACAGCGGGCAATTTACAGCAAGTCAAAGCCTGTAATTTCAAAGCCTTCGTTGGCTAAATCAAGCCTGGCTTTATTCTTTACTCTGTCCAGCTGTAGCTCAATGCCTGGCATTAGACTATGGACCACACAGTCATTGACCAGGTGCATTTGCTGCCTGGGCTCGGGGCAGGCTGGGACAAGGTCTCGGGTTTGTCCTATGGACATTGATGCAGCAGGAGCCCTGCTCCAGGACTTTGCTCCTGTTGAGCACATGAGTAAAAACACCACGGTTTCAAGGCCTGATATTTGGTCTCTTTAATACCTTTTGCAAGGAGTTACTGTCTCTGCAATGCAGGAGCTTGAGCTGGGAACACCTTGCCAGGAGCCTGGGTCATCCTGACCCACCAAGGCTTGGGTGTTTCTGCAGGGAGCTTCTCTCTAACAGCATCCCTGCAAAAATCTCCTCAGCGCAGCTTCCAGCTGTGTGAAGTCCTTGCAGATGGCTGATTTTTGCTGATTTGACACAGGAATTGTGGGCAGTGATTACATCAATGCCAACTACATCGATGGGTACCGGAAGCAGAACGCCTACATTGCCACCCAGGGGCCCCTGCCAGAGACCTTTGGGGACTTCTGGAGGATGGTGTGGGAGCAGCGCTCAGCCACCATTGTCATGATGACTAAGCTGGAGGAGAAATCACGGGTAAGATGCATGAGAGGGATGACTGGTTAGTCATAATCCAGGGGGATTGGAGGGGAGAGCTGGGGGAACAGCAAATCCCTTTGATGTGCAGCCAGGGGGGGATTTCTGCCTGCTCTGCCAGCACCCTGAAAGTTCAGTGATTCATTGCTTTTAAAAAAAACAAACCATTCACCCTGGAAAGCTGCAGCCTCCTTGGCAACTCCAGGAGAAGGGGCTGCTGGAGCCCACTGCATGTCTGTCTTGGAGTTAATCATGTGGCAAGTTTCACATTCAGTTCTCTTGTTTAACAAGCCCCAGTACATTCCCTCTAATCTTCAGGATCATTCCAGTCTGTTGTCTGTGGGATTGATGTAGCATCAAAGTCTGTGCTTAATCAGTAGGAGCTTTTCCTGGTGGGTTTGTCCCTGTCCTGGTGCTGTGCAAAGACACTTCTTGCACCTCCCCTTGCCTTTGCCACCAGGGCATTTTGGGAATGAGCACCCCCCAGTTTGGGTTTGTCCAGCACTGAGCCATCCTTCCTTGCCTTGCAGATAAAGTGTGACCAGTACTGGCCAGGCCGAGGCACAGACACCTACGGGATGATCCAGGTGACCTTGCTGGACACCATTGAGCTGGCCACCTTCTGCGTCAGGACCTTCTCCCTGCACAAGGTGAGCTGGCTCCTGCTCCTCTTTTCCCTGGAGAGGGGCTGGAACACTCCTGGTGGACTGCAGGAATGCTCAAGGGTTTCTCTTAAGGGAAAAACTCACAACAGTGGATGGGAAGGGGTCACATACCCTGAGCTATTTACACCTGCAGGCTCCAGTTACAAAGGGGTCTCAGGCTGCAACATTCCAAAAGATCAATCTCTGATGTCACCACTTTGGCTCATGGCAGTTCCAAACCTTCATTCCCACCCCCAAGAGCTCTGGATTTCCCTCCTAACAAGGAGGGAGGCACACCCTGTGCAAGGCAGGGATGGCACTGGATGAGCTTCAATGTCCCCTTCACCATCCGTGAATGTCCCATTATTCCCAACAGAGATGGGTGAGAATCTAAGTTCCCTCTTAATTCTTCTCCAAGGAAAACCCACAAAGCCTAATGAAGTGAATTAAGGGCTATTTAAAGGGGGCACAGCTCCTTTTAAAAAAGAATACAATCTCTACAAGCGGATAAATATTGATTCTCCAATTATAATGTGGGACCTCAAGCAGCCATCAACAAAAAGTGCATTAAAGCTCTACACTACAAAAATATAAGAACTTTATAACTCCCTCCCCATTAACAACCTATATTTAAGTAGGAGAATTAATGCTAGAATGAGTAACCAGGGTCCTCCCTCTACGAGGCGAGCTTACACCTGTACATTATCAACAAATAATATGGGACATTCACGGGGTGGCACTGGATGAGCTTTAATATCCCCCTCAAACCATCCCGTGACTCGACTTCAATAAAATTAAAATAACAACAAGCATTACAGATATTATTAATAAACAGGGTCCTTCTGGAGCAGCTCCTGCCTTTCCCTGGATGCAGTGGGGGAACAAGATGGGGTTGTGGCTCAGGGCCCAC